AAAAAAAAAAAAAAACAAAAAGACGTAGCAATGGATGCTGAATAATACCAGGTGACCACATCCAACATATTTTATCTCTCTACCCCTTTCTTCTAGATGTATATACTACAGACATCAGTAAATATTACATAAGAACCATTGCGGTAGAAAGTTGCAAGCCATTAGAATATTCTGAGTTACAATGAATGATCTCTTTTGGCTTTTAAAAGATATTTCTTGTGGTAACTTGGAATAGATTTGACAGTCAATGATAACTGTTTAAATAGACCCTGACCATGAGGAGGGATAGGGAGAAAGTTGGTAATATCTGATTGTTTTTATTTCTAAAATTTATTTCTTTAATTCATGATATTATGCATATACTTGGGGGAGGGAGAAAAAAGCACCCTTTACATGCTCTTGTCATTCTGAGATCTTCTTCAGAGAGAAGCACTCTCTACATGACCTTATCACACAAATCCACTTTTCCTGGTCCTCTAGCTCTTCAGCATCTTGAGCATGTGTGCATGCACCTGGCATATTTTCAAGCCAACCCAGGGATCTGAACTCACACTTGGCCATGTAGCATCTAGCACTGCAATTCTGTTACTACTGACTGTGCCATCAGGTAGGGCCTGATTATTTTAATAATTAACATTTTGAGTCCCCACATTTTATTGAGTTCATTTGTTCATTTAACAAATACTTATGAAGTGCAGTATCTTGTCATATGTGCTGAGACTGTTTCCTGTTATGTTGGACTAATCTATTAGTGAATATATTAATAGCATATAGACTGATTTGTTGTTTTACATTTCCTTCTTGAATTAAATGGCTAGACTGCCGCTTAGACTAAATAATGAGCACAATATATGTATTAATCCCTAAAAGTTAGCATTATGTGTATTTCAAGTTACTTAAGCAAATGCAAGTATTATCATGTTCCTAATAACACTAATGTAAAATATGTTTAAGTTGAGTACAGAAATTTAGAATAACAACTTCGTTTAGTGGCATCCTGAGGTAATGTATTATTTCTCTCATTTTTTTTTCAGGCAGATGCCCTCTTTTCTCATAGCTCAACCCATTTTTCAGGCTTAATTTAATATGCTGTTCATATACTAGTAAAATATATTACCTTATTAAATTTTACTGAGTTTTCATGTTTCTTCATGGGTCTCAGATATATATATTATTAAATATTATTTTCAGTCTAACCTTATGCTTTAAAAGCACATAAAAACATAAATTAACTTGGCCTATTAGCAGAAATTGCAGTCACTTTTGTTTGTAGTCATTAATGGTCTTTATCATCTTAAACTGTTAATCTGCATCGTAAAAGTACAGGAAAAACAATAGTCATGAATTTGATTTTGATCCAAGTTAAGGTTTAGCTTCATGACACATGTGCTGTTTGCATTCCTGAAAAGTTTTATTAGAGTCTTTTAAACTTAATTTTAGAACTATAAGAATTCATTTTTCCATTTTTTTTTTCTATAGAGCGCGTGCGCTCACCAGACAGACAGAGACAGACAGAGAGACAGAAAGTGAGAAATCACCCCCCCCCAGGGGGGGATGGCCATGCTGCAATCCCTTCTCCTCCATTCTCCTCTTGGGATTTTGGGCACACACACACACGTGCCCGGTGTGAGTTTTAAGCCACCGGGTCCGGGACGTGAACCGTGGTTGACTACATGTGAGTCCAGTGACATAGCCATTACGCTAACTGCTGGTCCCTTCCTATATATTTTTGTTCTATAGATAATATTAGTAATGAATTAATTATCCATACTTTAGAGGCTAAAATAAACATTTTGTGTGCTTACAAGTCTGTGGATCAGCAACCTGCAGCTGAAGTGGTCTTCCTCTGTAGTCACTTACCTAGCTCTAGTTCTCTGGCTGCTCATCTGGGTTGGATGTTCTAGCTTATGGTGCTCATATATGGCGGTTGGTTATGGCTCTGGGCTGAGTCAGTGTCTTCTTCAGGCTGGCCTGGGCTTCATCATATGGTACCTGTGTTCTGGGATCATTAAGGGCAAGCCATAATGGGCAGGTGCTTTTCAAACTTCTGCTTTACCACAGCTTCTAATAATCTACTAGCTAATACAAGACATATGATCAATCTTAGCATCAAGTGGAAAGAAAATGTATTTTTCACATTTATTGGTCTGAACTATTTTTTATTTATTTTTAAAATTTTGCTATAAAGGATTTGTGCTTGTTGGAGAGAGACAGAGTGTGAGTGAAAGCACCCCTTGGAGATATGGCCATGCCACAGTCTCTTCTTCATTCTCTTCTTGGGATTTTGGGCATACACTCTCATTCACACAGCATGTCTTTCATACTGCAAAGTGTGGGACTCTTATTCCTGTGTGTTCAGAGTCATAAAAACTCACTAGATAAGAAATTCTTCAGGTAATTGTGTTTAAAAAAAATAGGACATTTCCTCCCAGTTTACTTTTTTAATGACAGTAGTTATGAAGCACAAATTTGTTGGTGCTTTGTAGTTATACAAACTGTCTTCAAAAAGTTCATAGAGAAAATTTAGATTTCAAACATTTTTCCACCAAAAATTGTGCTGACTTGTTATAGGATGTAGTTTGATGCACTAAGAATAAGACAGTTTGTAGTTTGATGCACTAGGGATGTAGTTTGATGCACTAAGAATAAGACAGTTTGAAAAGAGCCCTTATGAGAGCAACACAAATTCTGTTAAAACAGAAGCAAGAACAAACATTATGGTGAAGTTTTGGTGAAGAATGATGAGATCATTGATGCTTTACAAAGTGTTTATGGAAACAGTGCCTAAAGAAATCAGTTTTACAAATGGATAACTCACTTTAAGAAGGGATGAGATTACATTGAAGATTGTGCCTTTAGCAGCAGAAGCTTCCTCAATTCGTGAAGAAAAAAAATCATCTTTGTGCACTAATTGAAGAGGACCAGTGATTACCAGCAGGAACAGTAGTCAACACCATAGATACCTCAATTGGTTCAGTTTACTATTCTGACTGAAAAATTATAGTTGAGGAGACTTTGCTCTATGGGTGGCAAAATGGTTGCACCCAGATCAACTGGGTGCAGAGCTTTCAAAAGAAATTTTAAACTAGTGGAATCAAGATCCTGAAGCATTTCTTCAAAGAAGTGTAACAGATGTCACATGGCTTTACCAGTACATTGTGGTAAAGCCAGTGAAGACAAAACACAATCAAAGCAAAGGCAACCAAGAAGTAGAAGTGGTCCAGTAAAAGATTAGACTGGCCAAGCACAACGGTCATGGCAAGAATATTTTTGGGATGCTCAATGCATGCATTTCGCTTGTTCACTTTCTGGATGGCCAAAGAACAATAACATCTTCCTACTTTGAGAGTGTTTTGTGGAAGTTAGCTGAAGCTCTAGGAGGAAAATACCTGGGGAACTTTATCAAAGAGTCTCTTTCCACCACAGCAATACTTACATTTATTCCTCTCATCAAATAAGGACAGTTTTCAAGTTTTATGGGAAATTATTGGGAATCCATCTTATAGTCCTGATTTGACTCCTTTTAACTTTTTATGTTTGTTTGTTTCTGTATCTTAAAAATACCTTTTCTTCAGTTCATAATATAAAAAAGACTGTCTTGACATGGTTAAATTCCCAAGATGCTCAGATTTTTAGGGATGGACAAGATGCTAAGTGGCTAGTGTCATCACTTACAAGATGCCTTGAACTGGTGGAACTCATCTGATGGAACTTAGTGGATAAAGCTTTTTATATATATAAATATATTATGTACAAAGATATATTAAGTTGTTGGGAAAGGTATGACATATTTTTCTATGTTTTTCTTTGTAAAAATGTGTCATTTTTCTGATGACCCTATATATGCACACATGCGCATGTGTGCATGTATATTTAAGTTATTTAATTTTGCTATAGGGCATGTATGCTTACCAGAGACAGACTGTAAAAAAGTGAGAAAGCACCCCTCAGGGAGAATGACCACACCACAGTCCCTACTCTTCCATTCTTTCAAGATTTTGGGCACACAAGACATGCACCCAGCATGTCTGTCAAGCTTCTGGGTCTAGTTCTTGAACCATATGGGATCCAGCTGCCTTAACCGCTATACCGTCTGCTGGCCCTAAAATAAGCATTATTTCTTGTCTGAAATCTTGAAAATTCTGAATTTTGAAATCTACATGGCCCCTAAGGTTTTCAGAAAAGTTACTGTGACCTTCTACTGCCTATTAAAGTAACAAGGTAGTATAAAATGATTGTGTTAATTCAGTAGGCATGTCTGTACTTAAATTTACATAAATCTTTTTTTTTTTTTAAGAGAGAGTTTTGATATATGACACGTGCTCTTACAGTAGAGACAGAGAGACAGAAAGCGAGAATCATCCCCTGTGGGGGCAGGTCAACAAAAAATACAAATGGAAGAAACTTAATTGTCTAAGTGAACATTATGTCTAAGAAAGAATGAGAACATGTTAAACGTACGTTTATTTGATAAGTGTTTATATCTAGAAAATTCTCTGTAGTGAAATTATGTGTAAGTAGGTTTTTCAGATTTGTGAGTTTTAATTAGAGTGGTATTTGAACTAAATCTTGAACAGAAGAAAAAATATGAAAGGCATTCTTGCCTAGAAGGAATAGTAAGCACAGGTACTGAGATGGACAGGTGTGTTTAGTGACTCCTGAAAAATGCAGTAGTATCCAGCCGTGATGCGGGTGTTCGATCATAGCTTTTGTGACTTAAAGGCTATTTTTTGATATACCCAGAGTTTCAGTTAGTGGATGAAAGAACTAGGTTTGAAATACAGTCTAATTTTAAAACTAATCTTCCAGCATGCCATGCAGTCTGTTTAAGTTGAATTAGCCTAATTAAATATTAATCATAATGAGTAAATAAATCTGATGGCTGTATCATTTTTACTTTTTCTGAATTACCTATATCATTATTTATTGTCTCATGTAATCAGAAATATTTACCGGACATTTTCCTAATTTCCATTTTGGATGCATTTTCTCTTACAGGGTTACTTTTTGCCATCTGCCTTTCCAGAGTAAGTGGCTCTATGTGGGCACTGAACGAGGTAATATACATATTGTCAATGTGGAGTCCTTCACACTCTCAGGCTACGTCATAATGTGGAATAAAGCCATTGAACTGTGAGTTTGAGCAATATTGCATATATGATAATACTATCATATACGATAATATTCTTACATAATAGTCAACCAGTAAGTCCATATAGAATTAAATATGTATCAGACATTCCTGATATTAAATACAAGTTTATTGGTCTTTTGTAAATACACTATTGGTAGGAAAGGTTGTAAATTTAAATGCTTTATATATACATGCATATAGATGTACACATATGTATTAATATATTCACGTGTGCATAAATTATAACGAAAGTTCAGTGAAATGATTGTTCTTCTTTCTAGGTGAAAATACTAATTTTTTTTTGAAATCTTCTAATTATTTTTCTTTGAATTGCTGACCATAACCTACTAGTGGATTGCCACCAGTATTTAGAAAACACTGCTCTAAGCTATTACTTGATAGGCTTTAATAGTCAACAAATAAAATGTTAATGTTTGATACAGTGATGATTGTTCTCATTTATTAATCTTACGGTGTAATGGTTACATCATTGGACTGTCACATAGTTGACCATAGTTTTGAGTCCTGGGCCTAGCAACTTAAAACTCATGCTGGGCGCATGTGTATGCATGCCCAAGATTCTGAGTGGAGAATGGAGAAGGGATTGGGGCGTGACCATCCCCTCTGGGTGGGTGATTTCTCATTTTCTGTCTCTCTGTCTCTCTCCATCTCTCCAGTGAGCACATGTGCCCTAAGCAAAAATTTCTCTCAAAAAAAATTTATACCCATTATATATACATATATGTATGTGTGTGTATATATATATATATATACACACATACACACACACATACACATACATATATATACACACACACACACACACACACACACACACACATACATACATACACACATTCATACAGACAGACAGACAATAAAAATTGTGTTATACTTAGGGCCTTTACAGCTAACTATTTTTTTTTGGAGAGGTTTTTGCTATAGGGCGCGCGTGCTCGCCAGATAGACACAGAGAGAGAGACAGAGAGACAGAAAGCGAGAAGTCACCCCCCAGGGGGGATGGCCACGCCGCAGTCCCTTCTCCTCCATTCTGCTCTTGAGATCTTGGGCACGCACGCACATGCGCCCGGCGTGAGTTTTAAGCCACCGGGACCAGGATGCGAACCGTGGTCGACTACATGGGAGTCCAGTGACATAGCCATTACGCTAACTGCTTCATTCTCTCTTAATTAAATTTTTTATATCTTTTCCTATAAGTGTTTTTTTTACATTGTTTATACATAAAAATTATAGCTTAAGGATATCAGCAAGACCCCTTTTTGATGTTTTTTGTTTTTAAAAAAGTAGTCTTGTATTATTGCATTGCATAGTAATGACATTCTGTGTCACAACGTATTTTTGACGTATCTTTTAATTAATGTGTTGGTGTAGTTGTAATAGTGTTTTAAGCCTGGTTTTCCTTCCTGTGGCAGGGATGTTATCTTGTATCAGTCAGCGGTAGCCTGGGTTTTCACAATGTGTTGAGTAAATCGTGACATCTAGTGGAAAGGCCTGGTTCAGGAATCTGCATGGTTTCACAGATGGCTTTCCTAAAGTGGAGTGGTCTTTTCATCTTGGGAGCTTATGAATAAGGATATACTTATTGCCAATTAATAGTTATCAGTTCAGTTCTATTCTTATTTTTATAACTTCTTTTTCTCTGAGCAGATATAGGTAGCATTACTTTATTGATTTTTTAAAAATATAATAAGATTTTTCCTATTTCTAGTGTGTACTACAGAACTTGATACAGATGCCTGAATTGGAGGCTAGGATAGAAAAAAATTAATGATAGTTTGATACTACAATATTAACTTTGAGAATTTTAACTGAAGGATAGATTTTCTATGTCAAAATCTTTGACTGAATTGAAGATTCACTTCTATACAGAAATATACTTAGTCGTAAATTTTGCGGACTTCTATCAACATGAGAATCATCGTTTTTTTCTGATTCCTATTTTGATCATATTAAGAAATTTTGTTATTGATCACCTACTAAAGTGCTTCCTTCTTTACTATATCTTTATTTTCCATTTATATATTCTTATTGTAATAAATATGTATCAGAATTTTTAACTGAGAAGAAAATCTTACCAACTTGTTTCTTTTTCAGGTCATCTAAATCTCACCCTGGACCCGTTGTCCATATAAGTGATAATCCAATGGATGAGGGAAAGGTAGGTTTTTGTTTTGTTTTGTTTTGTTTTTTTCCCTGAAAGACATATTTATTATTTAATGCGTGGACTTGTATATTTTTAAATATGCAGACTATTCTAAGTCCACGCTTACTCTATAACGTTGAGATTATTAATACTGGTAGCACATCATATATATTTAATGGCTTATTATTCACTATGAAGGACAAGTCAAAGGATTGGAATCATTTACAAAGAATAGAAAAACACTCTAAAACATAAATAAAATGTAATAAATACTGTTACACGTTAATTTATATTCGATTTATTAGGGATAGTTTCTATGACTTTCTGATAATGCTGACAAAGAGTTTCTTTTTGGTTTTTGGATTCTTCTTTACACTTTAAACAATTTTTTTAGCTACTACATATTGCTTAGTATGAGACTTATCTCTATATCTCATTTCCTCTAAATTTTTCTTCATAAATAGCTCCAAATAGTAATAGTTTTTAATTATTATTTTTGTGTATTCTGAAACCTTTCTTATAGTCAGTATTTAATTATTGTTAAGTTAGTTAATGTACTTCAAAATAATAATAAATTAATCCTAATTAAAAGTAATGAAATTTCCTTTTCTATGAATCTGTGTTCCAAACTAATCTTTTAGGTAGTTTCATTTAATAATGATATTTTCTACCTATATAGGTGGATAACTATATCTTTTTATGAATTTTATCTGAGTAAATATTAGGAAGTTATCTACCTACTATCTATCTACTTTTGGATTTTGTGCAGATGTTTACTCACGTGTTTCTTTTCCTCAGGTCATGGGAGAGGTCAAGCCTATAAATTGTTTAACATTTTTTTTTTAGTTTACCACTAGAAAAATGAAAGTATAACTAGACTATTTGTAATTAATGCATAATCATAGAATTGCTTTGAAAGAAACTGCATAAAGCAAGTGTACAGTTATCTTTATGCTGATTTTCATTTCTTTTACTCAAGATTCTTATTTCAGAGCTAGCCTTGGGGACCAGCAGTTAGTGTAATGGCTATGTTGCTGGACTACCATGTAGTCGACTGCGGTTCAAGTACTGGACCCGGTGGCTTAAACTCACACCGGGCATGTGTGCGTGCGTGCCCAAGATCCTGAGAGGAGAATGGAGGAAAAGGGATTGCTGTGTGGCCATCCCCCTGGGGGGTGATTTCTTGCTTTCTGTCTCTCTGTCTCTGTCTTTCCAGCGAGCACACATGCCCTATAGCAAAAACCTCTCAAAAAAAAAAAAAGCTAGCCTTTGGGTGGGAGGCACAGTTGGGAGGATTGAAAACTTCTCTTCTACCATGAATCAGTAACTTGATCATGTCAGTTCTTTCTTTTCAGTATCCTCTTTCTATTTAATCTCTTAATGACCACTGTAGTTCAAGGTAGTCCAATCCATGAATTGAATAATTTCCAGATTAGTCTTTCTAGAATGCTATTTTCTTTTTTTTTTTTTTCTTTTGAGAGGTTTTCGCTATAGGGCGCCTGTGCTCGCCAGACAGAGAGAGACATAAGAGACAGAAAGCGAGAAATCATACCCCCCATGGAGGATGGCCACACTGCAATCCCTTCTCCTCCATTCTCCTCTCGGGATCTTGGGCACGCATGCACACGTGCCCGGCGTGAGTTCTAAGCCACCGGGTCCTGGACGCGAACCACGGTCAACTACGTGGGAATCCAGCGACATAGCCATTACGCTTACTGCTGGTTCCCTCTAGAGTGCTATTTTAATCTCAATGTTCTCTGTTGTTTAAAGACTTGCAGTGATTCTGCAATATCTAACAAAGTTTCTTGAAAACATAGCCCTAGGTTTCCTAATTTCCAGAATATCTTTTACCTGAAGGGTTTGCTGCTGCAAGTAGTTATTGCTTCCAAATAGAAACTAGTCATTGCTGCTTCCGTGACTTTATGTGAATCCTTCTATTTGGAATTCCCTCTCTGCTGAATTCCTGCCCACACTCTAAGGCCTTGGTTAAATATATAGATTGAGTATCGTGAATCAAAAATCAAAAATGCTCTAAAATCTGAAACACACTGAATACAGACATGATGTAACAAGTAGAAAATTTCATACCTGATTTTATGTGATGGGTCACAACCAAAACAGTGTAATACAAAAATATTGTATAATGCAAAATTACTTTTTTTTTTTTGGAGAGGTTTTTGCTATAGGGTGTGTGCGCTCACCAGACAGACAGAGAGAGACATAGAGACAGAAATTGAGAAATCACCCCCCAGGGGGGATGGTCACACCGCAATCCCTTCTCCTCCATTCTCCTCTCGGGATCTTGGGCACGCATGCACAAGCGCCCGGCATGAGTTCTAAGCTACCGGGTCCGGGACGCGAACCGCAGTCGACTATGGGGGAGTCCAGCGACATAGCCATTACGCTAACTGCTGGTTCCCCAAAACTACTTTTGAGTTATATGTATGAAGTATATATAGAATGTAAGAATTTTGTATTTAGACTTGGGTCCCATCCCCAAGATAGGGAGTTTTGTATATGCAAGTATTCTGAAATCCAAAAAATTGGAAGTTCAAAACACTTCTGACCTCAAGCATTTCAGAACTTTGGGAACACTCACACATGTGCCTGATGCATTTTTCAAGCTGCAGGGACAAGCATCACCAGCCTTTTGGGATCTGGCTCCCTTCTCTACTAGGCCACAGCACTGGCCCACTTCCTCGCTTATTATTACTTTTAATATGCAGGCTTTGCAGGGACCAACAGTTAGCATAATGGCTATGTCACTAGACTCCCACGTAGTTGACTGCAGTTCGAGTCCTGGACCTGGTGGCTTAAACTCATGCCGGGCGTGTGTGCGTGCGTACCCAAGATCTCAAGAGGAGAATGGAGGAGAAGGGATTGTGGCATGGCCATTCCCCCTGGGGGGTGATTTCTCACTTTCTGTCTCTATGTTTCTCTCTGTCTGTCTGGCGAGCTCACGCGACCTATAGCAAAAACCTCTCCAAAAAAAAGAAAATATGCAGGCTTTGTTGCATTTATCACATATTGGCTTGTATTAAAAAATGTGTGCATGTATCAGTACCCCTGAACTTGCAAAATCTCTTATACAAGAGGTAATACTTAGATTTCTATTTTCCATAGCATGCAACATATAATAAAATAGTAATTACTCAATTTATCTATAAATTACATGTAACTGTTTATATTCTCTTTTTTCTTTTTTGGAGAGGTTTTTGCTATAGGGCATACACTCTCCAGAATGAGAGACAGCCAGACAGAAAGTGAGAAATTACCCCTGGAGGAGATAGTCACAGTGCAATTCCTTCTCCATTTTCCTTTTGGGATCTTGGGCACGCATGCACACGTGTCTGGCGTGAGTTTAAGCCTCCAGGTCTGGGACTCGAACCACCGTCAACTACATGGGAGTCCAGTGACATAGCCACGCTGCCAACTGCTGGTTCCTATATTCTCATTAAAAACAAAACAAACAAGAAAAAAACTTAGCATTTTATTACCCTCCTTAGATCTATGAGTTAATCTCATTTAAACATTTTTGACATACTAGAATAGGTTATATTATGTAATCTTTTATTTCTTGTAGAAAAATCTGCTTTAACAACATTAGTGACTTTTTCCTATTTCTGTAGATCTCTGTGACATTTTG